ACGTTTAAAGGTGGGGCCGTGGGTCTGCATGATTAGCCGACACCCCGACGACTCTGCTAGAAGGGAATCTCTGCGACCTCGGGTTAGATGTCTACTTACTACCCCAAAAGCACCACGCATAAAAGAGGCGTCAAAGACTCTCATGCTACAAAACAAAACACTTGGAAACAGAAGAGAAAAAACGTTTCATGCTTTTAGCTTCTCTATCTGTAAAATGGGGTGTTATTACCTGAGCCACAGGGTTGTTGTGAAGACTGAGTGAGTCCAAACTGATAAAGTTCCTCCAATGATCTGGGGAAATTCATAACAAAAGCATACAGAGGAGAGAGAGAGAGAGAGAGAGAGAGGATATGGGAGAGCAACATACCAAGAGCTAATGGCTCAGAATTTTCTAGAAATAAACACAGGCATGAATCCTCAGAGTCAGAAAGTACAAAAGATTATAATTTATTTTTAATTTATTGATATTAGAGATAGAGGAAGGGAATGATTTGTTGTTCCACTTATTTATGCATTCATTGGTTGCTTCCTGTATGTACCCTGAGGGGGGTCACCCCCCACCCCTGCAACCTTGGTGTACTGGGACAACACAACACGCTAACCAACTGAGCTACCCGGCCAGGGCCTGCAAAAGACTGTAGAAAAGATGGACTGACTTATCAAACACCTGAGCTCATCACAACACCTGACACGCAGCAGGCCCCAGAGAAGTGCTGGCTCCTTTCCTCCCAGCCCACAGCGGTCCTTCCTTCCTCCCATCTCTGCAGCTGCCTCTATCCCCACCAGCTGTGCCCACCCTGCCTGCACTCTCCCAGGCTTTTCCAAATCGCGCTCTGCAGTAATGATCATTTTTTAAATTGATTTCAGAGAGGAAGGAAGAGGTAGAGAGAGATAGAAACATCAATGATGAGAGAGACTCATTGACCGGCTGCCTCCTGCACACCCCTCACTGGGGATGAAGCCTGCAACCCAGGCATGTGCCCTTGACCAGAATCGAACCTGGGACCCTTCAGTCCGCAGGCTGACGCTCTATCCACTGAGCAAAACTGGCTAGGGCAGTAATGATCATTTTTTTAAGTCGTCCCCAAAGCACACGGCAGACCTGGCAGCCTCTCCCCTGGACATGAGTCAGGTGTAGAGAGGCCTGGCCTGCCAGTCCACTGGCCAGGGAGGGAAGAGTAAGGTCAGTCAGATCCCGCGGGGGGTACGAGGACTCAGGGAAGCCCAGACAGGCATGAGACCTTTACAAAGAGAAAGATATCTCTAATTCTGGGAGACAAGGGGTGGACAGAGAGGAGGGCCAGGCTCAGGAAAGGTGCAGAGTCCCCAGCATGAGGCGTGGAGAAGAGGGGAGGGGTTGGACGAAAGCAGTTCAATTCGAGCTGAGGGGCAGACCAGGGGCCAGGTGGAAAGAAGCCCACTTCTCGGGGGATCAAGAGGCCTGAAGCAGCGACAAGGGCTGGGATCCAAAGCTCAGGTTACGGGAGGAGCAGGCCTGGCTGGGAAGGCACACCCACTAGCACTGCGAACCATGGTGAGTAAGGTGAGAGCCGGCCTGTAACTGAGCTCTTCCCAGCCCAGCCTCTACAATGAGACACCTGTGGCTGCGCCCTCCCACCAGGCCTGTGGGGAGGGGAGCCCATTCCACCCCTGGGTCAGGGGCTTAGAGAAGGCGCTACTCCTGTCACTCCTCTGCTAGGAAGTGTTTTACTTCCTTCCACATTCTGTAGCGGCAGGTGGTCCTTTCCTTAAAACTTATTCTTCTCTACTTATAAGGGTAATATGCTCATCACAGAACAGTCACAAAACGCAGAGCTTTGTCTAACATACATGTGCAGCTTGTTTTATACCCTTCCGCTTTTTTTTCTATGTACATATGCACATTTAACACCGTTGGCATCTTACTATGTAGAGTTTGAGATCCTTGTTTTTTTCTTCTTTTTCCTTTTCCAATTCACGTTATCCGTGAGAATTTGCCAGTCTTCATTCAAGCATACGATGAAATGTTATGCGCCACGGTTAATGGCAACATAAATGGCATTGTACAGCTGTAGCTAAATTTATTTAAGCAATGTTGTGGTGCTGGTTATTTAGGCTGTTTCAGACTGTTTACTATTTTACATGAGGACTATATCCTGCACGACTTCAACACCCAGCATCTCCTACCCCGAATTAGGACCGCCTGTGGTCTGTCCAACATGGCTAGGCATGAAACCACGTGTCCCTGCTGCTCTCTGACTGTCACCGAGGCAGTCTAGTCTCAGGCCCAGGACTCTATTGCAAATATACCTGCACGGCCCCCAGCACCCTGCACACAGCAAGTACTCAATACGTGCTGACTATGTAAGCCCCAGAGCCCTCAGACTGTGTGGCCTGATGAGTTTCATTTGCCAAGGGTCAGGACTGCAGGTGCCCACAGTGGCCTCGTCTGATATTTTGCTTCTTCTCTTGGCACTGAAGAGGTAAAAAGGCCCCTATCATCCAGCCCTAACTTTAAAGACCCCATCACCTCCACCACACATGAAAGTCTCGAGCTCCGGCCACAACCTCCCGCCAACCGCAATGACTTCGGGTTTAATCCCTTCCCCAAATTGCCTATAGCGTCACTGTGCTCATGACCCCGGTAATCCCCAAGCATCTGCCCCAACCGCAGAGCAGCATGTGGGGACAGGGCGCTGGCTCTGGGGCCAGACAGGCAGGGTTCCGATCCCAGATACTGCAGTGGTCTGGCAGGGCAGCCAGAGGCCTCGCTTGGGTTCCTCAGTGGGCACGGCCCTGGGCAGTGCAGAAGAGCTGGTCACAGCCCTCCCTACCCTGGTCACCCTGCACACTTCACCCGAGGCAGACGCCCAACCTCCAGTTCACAGAATTCCCCACCTGGCCTGCAGAGGCACCTGAGTTTGCAATCTCTGGTCCAGGGACACTGAAATCTAGACTCAACAGGGCCTTCGAGGCTCTCCACCTGCGGGGTGCCCTCCCTCATGCCACAGAGACAGCTCAGCAGTGGCCTCTCCCCGGCTATGGTGCAGCCCTGCCTCTGCCTAGGGCACCTGCCTCCTCACTGCTGCCTAAGGGAATCCTCTCTCAATCAGCACCTCCCCAGGAGGTCAGAATTCCGCTCTCCCCGCTCTACTACCCCTCCACCTGCCCCCTTCACACATCTGGATGAGACTGAGCTGCAGGTGTGTCCCTCCCCCTCATGACACTTTAAAGTAGGGGTCGGTCATTCACTGCAGAGATTTGTCGATTTGCACTGAGCTCCCCATTCAGAGGCAATGCCAACGCCCAGAGACCTGGCTGGCTGACACCTTGAGGAGGTGTGTTGGGGCAGGCAGGAAAGGGGGTGACTTAGGCCTCTATCTTCAGCCCTTGGGGATGGAAAAGAAGAGCTGCCATTTATGGAGCTACCTACATGCCACGCACCTTACAGACATTACAATTACTCTTAATCACCTTGATGAGGAAGACACAATTACCCCCCCATTTTACAGATGAAGACAGCAAGGCGCAGAGAGGGTAAGTAACTGCTAAGGTGGCAGGCTGGTAGATGGCAGAGGGGAGATTCGAATCCAGGCCTGAGTGACCCCGAGCCTGGCTCTTAACCACCACATTTGTGATGAAGAGCCTTGAGCGCCGGGGTGAGTACAACCATGTCAGCGACCAGCACCGGGTTCCAGAACTCCTTCACTCACCAGCTGAAGGCGCCCCCCAAAACCAGCGAGTCTTCAAGTCTGTTTGCTGATAGAGGGGATGCTCCTCTTACCTTAGTTCAATTCAGCCAACACCTCCACGTGCTCACAAAGTGCCTGACACTGTGTTGGCTCTTGGGGGGGAGGGGCGGGGAGCGGGGGAAACCACAGGATCACTATCCGCTAGGGACACTGAATGGGTGTTACAGAGGAGGAGGGAGCAAGGGGTGGCCAGGGTAAGATTAAGGGCTTCCTGGAAGAGGTGGTGACCAACCTCATCTTGAAGGCTGAGTGTCCCTCCACTTCCTGGGCCACCACCCCCTGCCCCAGAAGCTTACATTCCACACACTCTGACCAATAGCTGCTTGAATAAATGCTCTGCCTTTCCAGCCTTTGGTTCTTTGCTCAGGCTGTAGCCTCCATGGAAATGCTCCTTCGTGAGACAGACACACACAGACACAGACACACACCCCTGCCTGCCTGTGAAAGTCCTCTCTGTGTCAAAGACCCAACTTAAATCCCAACCTGTCCACCTGCATGGCCACCCACAAGGCAGGACGGTCCGCCTCTCCTTTGGGTTCCCACAGCACACCCATGGCTCTAAGGTGCCACTTACATTCCAGTGAATGAGACACACACACACACACACACACATGCACAATAATACTATATCTATCTCCCCTGCCGATCCTTAAACATGACAAGACAGTCAATTCGGCGGATATTTATTTATGCTGGGACCAGTTCAAAGCAAGAAACATATGACACAATTCAAGTAAAGCAGTGGAGTGAACAGGGGACCTCCCGGCTGGGTGAACTAAGAAAGCCCCCTCTGCCTTTGACTCTTCGTCTCCTCCTCACCCGTCTCCTCCTCTCCCGGAGACCACACCTAGTCATGCCTGGCCGGGATCATCCGCCACAGGGAGGCTGTGAAAATTCAGTCAGGCAACACTCATGCACCAGCACGGACCTGCGACACGGGGCGACACGGCAGTGCCAGCTATGGTCACCTGGTCCCAGGGCACATACACTCAGTCCAAGAGCAGGCAGACAGGCTCCTGGCGGGTGGAGCCCCTCACTCGGTGTTTTTCAAATCTCTCTGACTCTGACCCATAGCAAGTCGTACGCTGGGACCCCGTATACGCACAACCTAAACACAACTGCTGGCAACGTTCCAAGAAACTGCTCCTCGTGACGAGGGGCACACACCGATATTGCCTCTTTCCTCTTCTCTTTCTACTTCATTTCCAAACTGATTTCACAAACCACTTGCAGGGCGCCCTGTGGTTGGAACGCCATGCCCTCACTCACCCAGGGTGTCAGAGTCACTCTCCACCGTCTCGTTGACCTTCCTCGCAACTCTGGCCACCGCCTCACCCATCTTCCTCAGCATGCAGGCTCGGGTGTCCTGCTGCCAGCCACCAGGCCGGTCTGCTGCTCACAAGGGGGCCTGCACCTGGGGAAGACACACGGGCATGAGTCCCCTGCCCGCTGGCCAGGGACCTGGGCTGCTGGAAGACTGTAGGGAGAGCTCCAGGCTGCTCGCCTCCTCCTGAGGGGCCCAGAGCCCCGGCCACATCCAGCTTGGCCTTTAAAGCAGCTGATCTGCCCATGAGAGGGTGGGGGCAGCCTGGTCCTACCAGTTTCCTGGGAGGATCGACACGTGGGACCACACCAGACACAGGCCCAGAGCCTGAACCAGTGGCCAGGCGGGAGTGAGGACTCAGGTGTGCGCTGGCCTGTGACTCACTCTAACAGGCGGGGCCTTAAGGAGGAGGCGGGGCACAGCCAACTGCAAGGAAGAGACACTAGTCCCTCCACCTCACAGCCTGTGAGCTGGTGCCCTGTCCAAGACCCTCCAGAGCAACTCCTCCAGCTCCGTTTGCCGCCCCCCCCCACCCCCCCCACGCCACGCCCTGTGCCAGACTCCTCCTGTATGCCGGGGCATGGGGACAAGAAGGCAAATAAAACACAGCCGGCTTAGTCAGAACTCAGAGTCTGCAGGTGGGTGGGTCTCTAAGAATTCCCCTCTCCAAGGACCAGCATGGAGTACCTATGTGGCCTGCAGACCTGGTTATCAGCCTGATGTTGAATTTATCTGCAAGACCCCAAGGGAAAAGGGGAGTGGGGTAGGGAAACGAGAAAAAAGGAAATTGGATCACTAGAGAGAAGAGGCTTAAAGAAGGGTGAAGATGAAAATTATAATAAAAATGACAAGGTGTTAAAGACATAAGGAACACTAAAAACGTTGCTAACGCCCTGTTAATTACAGAGAAGGAAACAGAGGCATAAAGAGGGACTAAATGACCTGGCCAAGGTCGAAGTGACTAAGTGGCCATAATCAGCTCAGCCCAGCTCCATGTTCAGTGCTCACTTCTTTACAAGTCACCCACGTCACCAGCGGCAGCACCCCACCTAGAATGAACCTGAGGCCAAGGGCAATGCCCTCCTTTGTCCCCAGAGCCCAATCTCAGCTTTGCCCACAGCTCAAGGAGCTCTAACATACTCAATCTGAGGGTCAAAGGCAGAAGAATGGAAAGGGCAGAGAAAAGGGGGGCGAGGGTAGAGCTCAGACCTCCTAACAAACCAATAAAAAGTCCCTATGTGCTCAGCTGGACAGGCAGGACAGCCAGGGCCAAGCTGGGGGTTGGCCAAGCCCACCCATGTGCTTAGGGGAGAGTTATTGGTGAGTTCAGTACGTACATGCATCTCACCAAGGAGGCTGACACTGAAGGGATGAAACGCATGGTGCGGGGGGAAAGGCTTTTTGAAGACAGCCCTAATGCCTAATTGTTACTTATTAGTTGAGAAGTCTTGGAGAAGTGTCTTAAACTACTCTGAGCCCAGTTTCTTCATCTGAAGAAATCTAGTAATAACCTCACTGGGTTAATACAAAGATTGAACAACAACAACTACACACACACACACACACACACACACACTAGTGGCCCAGTGCATGAAATTCATGCAGGGGCGGGGTGTGTCCCTCAGCCCAGTCTGCACCCTCTCCAATCTGTGACCCCTGTGGGATCGGGCCTAAACAGGCAGTCAGACATCTCCTGAAGGGTCCTAGATTGGACAGGGTGTAGGCAGGGCTGAGGGACAACCCCCGTGCACGAATTTTGTGCTTCAGTAACAAGTGCACAAATTTTTGTGGGCTTTTATTAGAGTATGTATGTGTGTGTGTGTATATATATATATATATATATATCTTTCTAGCCCAGAGCCCAGGACACATAGTTACCCAATAAATGCTAATTGAGAGGATAAGACAATACACATGCAGACATGATGTCAGCATCTAATCCCATTTACATACCCATGTGACTTTGAACAAACAACTCAGTGGAACTCATCTTTAAGGAATGAGTAGAATTTTCATCCACCTCCAGGAAGTGTTCCCTGATTGCCCCAGCCCTCAGTGTTCTCTCCTGAGTTTCAGAAGCACTTGCCCTAGCACAAGCCAGTTGGGTTGTTTATCAGGCAGCTTAGGGCAGGAAGCAAATCTATACTGTGCTTTTGTCTGCACTTTACACCACATACTGCAAACAGATGCCCATCTAGTATCCCCCAATGGTGATGATGATGATCAACAACTATCATTTGAATTTAAATACAACCGACTCTTATAATAAATCTAAGACACTATCTAATTGAGAAGGGTCATACATTCAAATGCCTAACAGTGCCAGATAGGTACCTTGCACCAGGTGAGCCTGGTAGGGCAGTAGGGAATAGTGATGTCTATTGCAAACTAGGCCCGACACCTTCGTCAGGCTACCTTTAAGGCCATCCCCCAACCCTGAGTCACGCTGGAGGACCCAAAAAGGTTGGTGAATCAGATAGATCAGTGGTCGGCAAACTGCGGCTCGCAAACCACATGCGGCTCTTTGGCCCCTTGAGTGTGGCTCTTCCACAAAATACCGGCTCTTCCACAAAATACCGACTTCTGCGCATGGGCCACGAAGTTTCAATCGCACTGTATGAGCACACCCGCACGTGGTATTTTGTGGAAGAGCCACACTCCAGGGGCCAAAGAGCCGCATGTGGCTCGTGAGCCGCAGTTTGCCGACCACGGAGATAGATGAAAACAAAAAACCAGGGTCTTCTAACTCCTAAACCAGGTCTTCCTCCAATACCATGCTCCCTCCTCTCCCCATCTCTAATATTTAATCATCAATAATCACAAACATGTATTGGGTGTAAAATGAAGAGGAGATGCAGGAAATAGCTCTGAATTGTGATTCTGATGAGGAAGAGCTTTCTAAGAAACATCAGAGGCAATCCTGGCTTCTCAGCAGAGGGGAAAGAGAAGGAAATCTCCAATCTGCCCAGGGTCTGTGCTAACCTTACTGGGATCCTCCAGGCCAGCATTCGCCAACCTTTCAGACCTCATGGACCACTGTTTGGTGACGGCTGCTCTAGGCTGATTACTTTGACAACATGCCTGCAATTCTTATAGCTGCCACCAGGTAGGAGAGGGCGGTGGTACCTTAGGCCATAGAATAATCCCTTGATGAAAACCAGTCAGATTAAAAACCTCACCCCTGCTGGCAGGCTCAGACATACTGAAAACAGATGTCTCAGACCCTTTAGTATGGGTCAGAGAATGGACCTCGAAGCAGGAACAGGAGCAACCTGTCAGTCAGTGAGTCAGAAAAAGTCATAGGAGGAGGGGCCCCTTACATTCCCGAGGATGCTCTGGGTGTAGCAGATGTGCCCTAGCGCCCCAAGAGGTTCCTGTGGCCTCAAATCATCAACCTTGCTAACTGGCTAGGAAAGCACCCTCCCTTCACCTAAAACTACCCCACCCTCCAAGGCAGAATTCCTTCCTTCATAAAGTTCAGCTGACAATCAATCTCTCTCCCAGGTCAGATGACAAAGGTCTGTCCCTCTTTGGCACAGGCAGGGCTGTGCGATGGGAGAGTGGCAGGGCCACATGAGTATAAGACCCAAGATGGAGTACGAGGGCTCCGAAACGAGGGTAGAATAAACTTGGGATGACAGGAGTCTAGAGTGTGTCCCCTAAAGGGCTCCTACAAAGGTTGTCCAACTTCCTTGACTACTCCTTTCAGCCCCAAACCTAACACCAAAAAAAGATAATAAAATAATAATATTATTTATTTAGCATGTAACAGGAGCTCAGAGAGAAAGGAGGCTTGGGGAGGAACAAATAAAGCTGCTCCTCCTCTTTTGTTTTAAACTGTTACGAACTTCTCACACAAGGCCTTACCAACAGGTATTAAACAGGTACAGTGCGTTAGGATATAAGAACTGAATGCCGGAAAAAATAGGTGCCCTGCTCTATGAGAACTGGCAGCACAGCCCTCCTGTACCTAGAACCGCATTTCACCTGGACAGGAAGCTGGGAGAGGGCTGATTTTGGCTCGACCTGACAGTAGCCCCCTGCCACAGCTCCCGCCCCCACCAGTGAGATCGCTACCTTATCTGGAGCCCCAAGATCTGAGCAAAGAGCTGCTGCGACACCCCGTCCGCACCAGCTGCTCCTATATTTAGTTACTGGTGTGGTCACCAGGGAACTTTAGAGCCTGGCGCCGCTCGGAAGGGCAACCCGAGCCTCCGGCACCACGTGTGCAAGCTCCCCCGCCGCTGGCTCCAGCGGGCCTCAGGACCACGCCAACGGGGGAGCCGATGCGGAGGGGAGAGCCGGCGGGCTGGATCGGACCCAAGTAGCCTAGAAGGCCCACTCGAGGCCAGGACAGAGTTGACCCAGTTTTGCACCCAAGGGAAGGGAGCCCGCTGGGGCGTGAGCAGGCCCGGCCGGCGCCTTGTTTTTGAACCACGGGGTTCGCAGGGTCCGCGCGTACTTCCTTCCCTATAGGCATCTAAGCATCCGGCCGTGCCTCCCAGCACTGGGCGAGACGGCCAGGCCAGGGTCCCCGCGTACTGGGGGCTCCTGCGCCTTCCGGGGGCCCAGAGGCGCGATCTGCGCTGCCCATCTGCAGCTCCCAGAGCGGAAGCAAACCCCGAAGCTGTCACCTCAGGGACGAAGTACACGACAGCTTCTCCCAGCAGGGCCGC